AATTAACTGCTACAGATTTTAATCTATATAAGAATTTCAAATTACTTAATACAAGACAGTATATTGCCTATTCTCATTTACATAAATAAGTGTTCAACTCAGACATCTAAAACATATTGCATTATACTTTACTTTGTACCTGGATCTTATTGTGGGAATTATTTCTCCCCTCTCATAAACATAATTATTTTACCGGGCCACACCCAGAAAATAATGCTCAGGTAATAATACTCCTAGCTCTGCACTCAGACATTACTTCTAGTGGTACTCTGGGGACCATATGAAATGCCAGAGATTGGCCCTGGGTTATAAGATTAAGAAAGGGTTTCCCAGGGTCAGAAACATAGTACCAGCAGGCAGGGCACTTGCTGTGCAGGTAGGTGACCCAGATATAATCCCCGGCACCCAATATGGTCCCCCAAGCCCTGTCAGGAGTGACCTCTGGGTAAAGAAGTAGGAGTTAAGTCCTAAATACTGTCAGATGTAGATGCTCCCTACCTCCTCCCCCCAACAAAAGGAGAAGGACTTTTCCTGGGGCAAAAGAAATAGTATAGGGATAAGGAGCATGTCTTACATGTGGCCAGCCCCCACTGGATTCCCCCACATCACATGGTCCCTGAGCATCACAGGGGCAGACCCGGAGGCTCTTGGGCACCTCAGGGTAAGAAGAACTGTTAACCTTGGGCCATCTACCTGGTTGGTCAAGAAACAATGGGAAGAGCCCCTAGGCCTCATGAGTATAGCTGGGTGGGTCAAAAAGCAAAAAAGTGAAGAAAAACAATGCTCCTCTTCCCCCAGCACTATCATCACACCAACAGGATAATAGCGTAACAACCATGGGTTCCCAACTGAAAGATCTGCTCATCAGGTAGGGGCAGGAATGTTGGCAAAGTGCGGAGGAGTCCCAGGTATGATCCCTGGCACTTTGTGGTCTGCTAGCACTGACCAGAGAGCAATACTCATGCACTGCACCAGAAGTAGCCTCTCAACCCTATGGCACCACAAAAACAAACAAAAATTGGGGCTAGAGAGAGTACAGGGATTGAAGCACTTGCTGTGAATGTGATCAAACTCAGTTTGACCCCTGACACTAAGTACGGTCCTCCAAACACAGTCAGGAGTGATCACTGAGCACCGAGCCAAGAGCAGCCTCAGAACACTGCTGGGCGTGACCCTGCTTCGCTGCCCTATCCCCCTCAAAAAACAAACAAACAAACAAACAAACAAACCCACAAACCCTTACAGAAATACAAGGATATCTGAATGCCTTTCATGATGAGACACAGTCAAGTAAAGAATCTGAGCTTCAAGATATCAACAGAGGGACCGGATAGGTAGTACATACAGCAGGTAGGGCACTTGCTTACCACCAGCCTGAGTTTGATCCTTGGCACCCCATACGATAACCCAAACACCACCAGAAACAATCCCCGAGGTCAGGGCCCTAAGCACCGTCAGGTGTGACTCCAAAACAAAACAAAACAAAACAAATATCAACAGAAACTTACCAAACTTAAAACTAAAGAGAAAAACAATGGGAAAAGAGAGTGTGGGGTGAGGGGGTGAAGTGGGAGGTGGAACAACCAAGAACTGTAGGAGAATTTTAAAAGGGAACAAAACATCAAAGATCTGTAAAAAATGAGGCTTTTATACATTCCCAACATTCATGCTGGGACACCAGAGGAAATGAAATAAAAGAGTAGAAGGAAAAAATCGAGCCGTAATGACCAAGAATTTCCACAAAAGAGATCAATAAAACACCAGAGAAAAGGATCTCTGAAAATACCAACCTAAATACACATTTAAAATATTACACCTAATCATACATTCAAACCGCAGAAAAACTAAAGACAATCATCTTTTTTTCTGTTTCTGTTTTTTTTCGGCCATACCTCGTGATTTGGGATTATGCCTGGCTCCGCACTAAGGACTCATACCTGGCGGTGCCCGAGGGACCATATAGGATGGTGGGGATGGAACCCTGGCAAATGCCCTATCTACTGTACTATTTTTTCAGACCTCTCCTCCTTGCCCCAAAGAAAATCTTGACTAAAGCCCAAGATTCACTGAGTGGGATGAGAAAAGTATTTTTGCTTTGTTTTGGAGCCACATCTGGCTCACTCTTGGAGGAGCTCAGGAAACCATATAGGATGCCAGGGATTGAACCCAGGTTGGCCACGTGCAAGGCAAACAGCCTGCTTGCTGTACTACTGCTATGACCCAAATAACCTTGTCTACAGAGGATTAAGAATAGGAACTTCAATAGACATATCATAAATAATGAAGGCAATAAAGTGAAATATAAGGAAAAAAACCCATGAATCTAGAATTCTACATATTAGTGATAATATCCTTCAAAAATGAAGAAGAAATTAAGAAAAAGTTCTTCACATGTCAAAAACTTCAGTAAAGAAAAAGAACTTGTTACCTTGGACTCTGGACTCAATGGGACCCAGGAGCAGAGATCCTCTGCCTGCTTCCCCCAGTCTCCGGCCACCTAGGAGTCACACCCATAAGCCACACCCTGCCGGCACCAGATAATCTCCTCATGGGCCACCCTCCAGAACTCAGGCTGCTTCTCCCAGGGAGTATAAAATGAGGCCCCCATAACCATGCCACCAGATTCTGTGCCAGGCTGTTTTCACTCGGGGCGCCCCAGAGGAGGGCGGGCGAGAGCCCTCCCTGCCCCAAGGGACCCAGCCCTGGCATCGGACCTTCACTACCCAACTGCTGCCATGCTCCAGGCCACTTTCCAGACAGAGCAGCCGCACATCATGGGACACTTCCTACCCATTGCCATTGTCCATAATTACCACAGCATGTTTGATGGAGTTCAGACAGTAGGCAACAGATCAGAGAGAAATATATATATATATATATATATATATATATATATATATATATATATAGTCCTCCGTTGATCATTGATTTGCTTGAGCGGGCCCAGTAATATCTCCATTTTGAGACTTGTTGCTACTGTGTTTAGCATACTGAATACGTAACGGGGTAGCTTGCCTATATATATGCCTCTCGGAGTGCCTGGCAAGCTACTGAGAGTATCCCACCCGCACGGGCAGAGCCTGGCAAGCTACCCATGCCAAAACCAGTAACTATAACGGGTCTCATTCCCCTGACCCTGAAGGAGCCTCCAATCATTGGTAAAGACAAGTAAGGAGAAGCTGCCAATATCTCAGGGCTGGGATGAATAGAGATGTTACTGGCACCCGCTCAAGTAAATTGACGAAGACAGTGATACAGTGAAAGAAAAATAAGGTATAAATGAAGGCAAAATAGAATATTTTTCCTTATTCTAATTTAATCTACAAAGCACTTCAATAATATGGACGGAACTGACAATGTAGTGGGTAGGGTGCCTGCCATCCACTCAGAGGGGTTTGATCCTGGGCACCACATATGGTTCCCCTGAAGCATTGCCAGGAGTGACCCCTTAGGTCAGAGCCAGGAATAAGTGCTGAGTATCACTCGGTGTGGCCCCCAAACAAAATGAAACAGAGAAAATGCTTTAATAATAAATAACAGCATGTCTGGGGGGGGGGGGATTATAATACATGAATAAGTTAAATGAAGGTCAACAATGTCATACGTGGAAAAAGAGAATTGGGACAATTTTGTTAAAAGATGAATGCAATATATATGAAGCAGTAGTGCAGGGATTTTGAAGGTGGGCTTGAATTTAAAATGATTACTGCAGGCCACAGATGTGGCTCAACAGTACAACACATGCCTTGCATGCAAGAGACCTGGACCTAATGCCTGGGACTGCAAAGCAAAATAAACAATACACTTATTGCAATTTAAGGTAATCACCAAAAAAGAATTAAACAGTCTCCTAGAAAAGATGGCCCCCAAAATGATCAGATAAAAGCCAATTACTTAAAAACTCAAGTAAAAAGGCTGAAGTTGGAAGAAGTCACCTAAAATCCAAAGACCAATAATGAAAACATGAAATGATCATTAGTTGATGAATGTACAACTACATTGTTTCTTAGGAGTATATTGTACTAAAAAGTCTGCTTCATGTAGCACCAACTTATTTATTCCTTAAAATATCATTTTTATTTTTAAGCAAAGAAACTGACCTACAGAGATTACATAACTTCATCGGGGATGCACAATAAGTGGCAGAAATGGATTTATATTCAAGCAGGGGCTTCAGAATCTGTCCTCTGATTACCAATGTGAGTCAATGTTCTAAACATACAAATTAACTCTGAATGTACTTTCTGTCAGATTTACATCAAAATTCACTACTACTGACATCATATAGTCCCTGGGCTAAAGATACACCATTATCTAAAATATTTGACGCATGAACAAATTAAAAAAAAAAAAAAACAGAAGCAAAAAGTGTTTTATAGCACAGTGGGTAGGATGTTTGCCTTGCACGTAGCTGACCCGGGTTCAATTCCTCCGTCCCTCTCGGAGAATCTGGCAAGCTACCGAGAGTATCCTGCCTGCATGGCAGAGCCTGGCAAGCTCCCCGTGGTGTATTGGATATGCCAAAAACAGTAACAACAAGTCTCACAATGGAGACGTTACTGGTGCCTGCTTGAAAAAAATTGATGAATAATGGGAGGACAGTGCTACAGTAATACATTTCAGGAATAGGTATATATTGTTTTACCTTTGAGGAATAGGTATACATTTAAAATTATACTATGGGGCTGGAGAGATAGTACAATGGGTAGGGCATTTGTCTTGTATGCAGTTGATCTGGGTTTGATCCCTAGCACCCCATATGGTTCCTCGAGAACTGCCTGGAGTAATTCCTGAGTGCAGAGCCAGGAATAACCATGAAGACATGAAGACCATGGGTGTGGATTCCCCAACACCCCATCTCCCCTCAAAAAACCCAACATTCCTGAAAGAACCAAACAGAAATAGGTTAGGTGAGTATACAAACAAATAAACCAAAAGCCACCATTTCAGTATTTAGCAATGACACATAATTAGCAGTAAATGGTGATATAAATCACTACCTTTATCCAACTTCCTAGCTCTCGTGAACTTTTCTTGTGATCTCTTTTTCAGTTCCTGGACTGGAATACAGGCCAGTGCTTTCTCCTGGAGAGCACGGTTCTCATAGAGCAGTACGTGCTGAATGTTGGACTGCAGAGCTTGTAGAAGGATGGGGTGGCCAGCTGTAACCTAAAAGGAAAAAGAAAAAAAAATGAGATTATCTTCTCTCTATCAGCTATAAGTAACATAACAAAACTCATTGGTTCTGGGGCCAGAGTGATGGTATAGCCGGCAAGGGTCCTTGTCTTGTGTGCAGCTGACCTGGGTTCATCCCAGGCGCCCAAGATGGGCCTCTGAACACCACCAGGAGTGACCTCTGAGACCAGAACAAAGAATAAGTCCTTGTGCAGAGCCAGGAGTAAGCCATGAACCCCATTAAGTGTGGTAAAAAAAACGCACACACACATTATTTCTACAATTTTATTTATAAAGCATTGTGAATGGATTCACAGAAATGTAAAAAATACTGAAAACTTTACAAAATTAGTATTAGGAGTAACTGTGTAAACTCACACAAATAGGTGGGCACGGCACCCACACGGCGGCGGCTCTATCTCTTCCGCCACCCGCGTTCGGTAGTCTCACCCTTCTACCACCCCGGAGAGGTCGATGGCGATGGTCAGGCGGAGGAAGGGACGAGGGCCAGGCTGGTAGGTATTAGTCGTAGTTTATTCTGATTCTCTCCTCATCTGTCTCTCTATCTCTGCCCCCATTCTTCCTCCCCCAGCTACTTCATTCTCCTTCTCCATTCCCCTTCATCCTCCTTCTCTGGAGTCTGGGTTCTGATCCTCTCTGAACTCTCTTCTTCCTTCTGCCTCTCTGAACTCTCTTCCTCCTTCCCCCCTGCCCGCTCCTACAGTATGGTTAAATTCTCTCTCCCTGAGGAATTGGGGAAAAACAATTACATAGGTGCGGTCACAATCAATAGGGGTGGAGATCAACAGGGGTAGAAATCTTAGCCTCAGGGAAGACCGCTCCTAGGACAGATCCTTCCTTAGCAGGAGGACCCACCCTAGAGCAGAATTCCATGGGCGTGCCTCTCCTCTCCTTGACCGACAAGCGTACAAGAATATAATATAAATCATTTTGTATGGATACAGTAAGAAATATATTAAACTTATAGAATTGCTCTCCTAGGGCCATCTCGATCTCAGACTACGGTGCTCAGGCCAGATAGTCTTTCCCACCCCTAGCAGGATCCTAGTCTTGTCGTTACCTTTGGATCATGACAGCATTTGTCTATGATCAAACTCTTAACTTATAGTTAAGAATCGTGGCACTTTGGCCTGGCCCATTTCGCTGCCAGGGTAGCTCACTGCTTGCCCTGGGTCCATTCAGTCCCTCGTCGGGACCCTGCTTTTGGGGTGTTAGGAACTAAGGGCAACTGAGGCTTAAGTCGAGAAAGATGCCCGGGAGTGAATAATATTCAAGGCCAATCAAATCCTAAATTACAAAGCATAATGTTAACGGTCTTCCTGTATCTATACAAAAAGGATATTACTTTAAGGTAAACTATTCATAAGGCATAAGGAGAGGAAAAAGGCAATATTTCACTCATATATATAAATCATAGATTTCTGGGAAACTGATCTTACAAATTAACAAAGTCTGATTAAGGGGAAAGCTGATTAACTGGATGAGGAGGAGAGCATAGGAAAGACTGTTTACATGTTTACATGTAAACACAATGGAAGTGGAAGTGCCTCTGGAGCACTGTGATTGGGTGTAACCAGATTGATGGGTATAACGAGATTAATGGGTGTAACCAGATAAAACCTAAGCTTCTTGAAGGACAAAGCAATGTTACCCAACAAGTAACCATATCTGTGTTATACACTGTCTTCATTTTTTACAGTCAGGTTATATCTGGCCCAAATAGGGTTTGCACACATGAGGCACTAAAACTTGAACTACCTCCTTGGACCTAAAATGTTTATTATTAAATCCTGATTATATTAGATTACTGACGCCATGATCGTAAAGATAATACAGTGGGGTGCTTGACTTAGAGCACTACATGGGCCCCAGCAGCCCCGCAGCCAGCCAGGAATAAGTCCAGAGCATTGCGGGGTGTGGCTCCAAAACAAAAGTTAAAAAAAAAAAGTGGCTATCTCGGAGTAGTGAAACCCCCTCCACACAGAGAGGTGTGGTACAAAAACAAAAAAAGAAATAAGTTCTAGCAAATTAACTATGACGGTAAACATGAATGAATTGAATGAATGTATTAAAAGGTGTTTACAAGGTGATTAAAACAACTCAACTCCAGGGGCTGGAGAGATAGCACAGCAGGTAGGGCATTTGACTTGCACGCGGTCAACCGGGTTCGATTCCCAGCATCCCATATGGTCCCCTGAGCACCGCCAGGAGTAACTCCTGAGTGCAGAATCAGGAGTAACCCATTGTCGGGTGTGACCCAAAAAGCAAAAAAAACTCAACTCCAATCTATGACAGGTGGGGAGTGTACACAGTACACAAGACAGACAGTCCACTTTAAGTCTAAGACAGGAACAGAAGCAGCATAAAACAATAATGCCAGAACCATCACATTGAATCAGCAAGTAGCACTGAGTAAATGTGTGTATGTGTGCATATAAACTGTGTATGCATATACATTTTGAACACTTAAAATAATAGAGACCAAGCTAGACAAGATGATTATCCTCATATTAAGTACCTTATGAATGCAGAAACGATCATAGACAATGCATATTTGCTTAATGCATATTTTTTGGGCCAACATGGGCAGTGCTCAGGCTTTACTTCTGAGGGGCCTGAGGGACCATATGGCATGCTACAGACTGAACTCAGGTCGGATGCATGCAAGGCAAGAGACTCACCTGCTGGATGACATCTCTCGCCCTGCTTAAATACTGAATGAGCCTTTGTTATCTGCTAGGTTCTTAGGAGAAAGGTAACAGCAAGCAAGATAAATTTATTATTGACTTATTTTGATCTGCCAAGTGGTGCTGGGGGACCCAGGGCCACAGCTGGTGGCGGCATTTAAACTGCACCTGCCTATGCTAATGCTCAGGAGGTCACATGGTGCTGGTTAGGCCCAAGGCTTGATGTGTGTTCGGCACATGCCTCAACCGCTGCAAATTCGACAGAGTGAGAGTCAGAAAACCAAACAGGGTATTGACATTGTACAACAGAGATCCTAAACTCAGAATTCTCTGAAGAAATGAAGTCTGTGGTAGAAGATGAAAGAGTGAAGACAGTAAAGGAATGAAGAGAACAGAGAAGGAGCAACACTGCTGGCCAGAAGGAACAGATGGTAGCTGGGGAATGTGTCTTAGGGGCATGATTAGCAAACTGTGAAAAATCTGGGAGAGGATTCAGGTGAACTAAAAAAAAAATAGAGGGGAGAGAAGTTGGATTGGTAAGCACAGAGGCCTTTCTTCTTTAAGACACTTATACAAGGAAAATGAGCCGATTTGTGTTTTCAGAGCCTCATTCTCCTTGCTGTGAAAAAGTAGCCCCCCCACCTCCTCCGGCACCCCAGGAGACTCAGTGGGGGACAACCGCAAAACAATGACGTGGCTGTTAGTTACAGCAGAGGCAGCAAAAGTGAAGAGAACATTGGAAAGAGAACTGATGGCGAGTTTGGGTGACCTAAGGAGGGTATGTGTTAGAAAAGTAGAAAATTGTTAGGAACGACCCACGGACTTCTGACAGAAGCAACTAGGCAAATAACTGAACCACTTAAAGTAGGAGAAAAACCAGGAAGTGATCAACTGCGTTACACTAAGGGAAATGCAAAAGTGGAAACAAAAAATGAACTAAAAGTTCATTACATTAGGCAGCATAGATGCCACTGACGATCCCAGTTGAGAAGTTTTGGAATAGTGTTTAATAAGGAAAACAAATTTAAGAAATTTATTTGCATAAAGGAGCATGCTTGCACTAAATGCTGCAGGATAACTATGCAAAACAGCACACTAGAATAGAAACAGAAAATACAGAATCTTCTATTTGGATTTTCGTTCAAAAAAGTATGCCAATCAGAGTTAAAATATAACTAGAGAACCTAGCTATTAATATAGCTAGAGAAGCTATACTGAGGGAAGAAAGTTGTGCATAGGAGAGAGGGTAGTGATGGCCTGGTCATTCCTATTTCTACCCACTGCTATAAGATTCTGCAACCAAACGTGCCTGGTTAAGTAAATTTACATGTTATGTTATGTAGTTTTGACTAACTCAACCTTCAACCTAGCTTTAAATATAATTATAGGGTGGGAAGACAGCTCAAGTGATAAGAACATATGCTGAGCTTCTATGAGGGCCTGAACTCCATTCCTGATACCACTGGACACTCCAAGCACCACCAGATATGGCCCCGGGGCCCCTGGACACCACCATATAAAACATGATAAAGGGATTACAAAGATCTCTAAACAATGAGGCGAATACTAATAATGCAGGCACACATAAGCCAAGGAAACACAGTGCTTAGAAATCTACCTGATCAGTATGAACCTTTCAACTGCTATATTTTTGTTTTTTGGGGGGGACCAAAACCAGAGGAGCTCTGAAGCCAATCCTAGTGGTGCTCTGGGGACCATGTGGTGCCAGCAACAGAATCTAGACTAATTAAAAAAAAAATCACAATCTACTAAGATCTGACTAAATCTGCCCCTCCCCCAATTAAAACAACTATATTTAAAATAGTATTTTGAATATATTTTAAATACTTATGTTCATATTCAATAAATGACTATAATGATAAAATGTGTTTTAAAATGAAAGGTATTTACTCTTTAGCTCTCTTTCAAAATATTTATTATTTATTTATTTATTGCTTAATGCATATTTTTGGGCATTTATTTATTTATTGCTTAATGCATATTTATTATTTATTTATTAATTTATTAATTTATTAATTTTTAAGACGATTAAAAATTGATTTACAAAGTTGTGATTTGCAAAGTCGTTCATAATAGAACTGTTTCAGGCATACAGTGTCATAACAGCAATCCCATCACTACTGTCCCCAGGATCCCTACCTATTCCCCAAGCCTGCACCTTTGGCAGGCAAAAAACAAATTTGTTTCAGATTGCTTGTTCCAACAAAATTTACAAAAATGGCAAACAGAATTATCATTCAGATTAGAAGGAACAACACAGACCTT